TGCTTCTTGCATATCTTCCAGTGCGCATATATCGCTACCTTGTTATGTTTATGGGCATATTCATCTTTTGATAGTTCCTTATTATTATTATTATTATTATTATTATTATTATTAGCCTAGATTTAGAGACATCAGCCTCTATAGTCGACCCCCAAAATTCATATTGCTTCACACTTGTTAAGTTTATATCACACGAAGCTAAAATATGTAAATATAGTTCGTCAGTTTCATTGTCAGTGGTTTTGTGCAATTTCTCCTTTTGCCAGCATGAGTTCAACTTTCTAGATATTATTATTATTATTATTATTATTATTATTATTATTAATATTTCCTTTGATTTCTGGTGTGTACACATTTCGTTCCGGGATCCGCCCAAAGACCTGAGGTTAGAAATAGCATCATGACATTTTCCTCTGACACATACAAAAAAGAAAATTACATAGATAAAGCCCTTCGTAAGGTGTGGGCTGTACTCGTGAGAACAATTTTTTGTATTTCTTTATGGTATGAACTTCCAGGAATCTCTTCAGTTAGTCTACTGGAATCTTTTTCCAACTATTCCGAGATTATTATTATTATTATTATTATTATTATTATTATTATTTCTAGTTATCATTATTATTATTATTTGTAGATATTGTTATTTCTAAATATTATTATTATTACTATATATTATTATTTCTAGATATTATTATTATTACCACATATTATTTTTAGATATTATTATTATTATTATACCTCGATATTATTATTATTCCTAGATATTAATATTATTATTACTATATATTATTATTTCTAGATATTATTATTATTATTATTATTATTATTGGTTATTCAAAAACATTGTCCCTTTGCTTGTTTGTGTCTCTCGTAAGCAGCTGAACAACAAAAAGCAGACGACATCAATAGATTACATGTAAATCTCGTTCATTTTTTTCCCTGTACGACTCAAAAGTAAAAAAAAAAATAAAACTAAGTACGAAAAACTATTCAGTCAAAGTGTAACTTGCAGTGAATGTCGAGTGCATTTCGTTCTTTCGTTCATTCCGTCACTGTCACTTGTTCTCGCCGAGCGCCATTTTGCTGCCGTGGTAACTTTGGAAACATAAATGGCGCGAAGCAGACATGTCAAAATCGTTAAGCAGACGATAGCGAATAAAGAAAATACAAGCGATTCGAATTCCAAATCGACTATCAGTTTGACGTAATTTCCTGTTTTATCTACAATATATTTTTGCTTTCTTTTTTATCCTTTTTTTTTTCTTCTTGCGAATGATCGGAAAAATATAGCAAAGATAATCAACAAAAAACAAATCAACAAATAAAGAAGAGTCGAATATAACAGAAAGGATTTCACGTCATCAGAAATATTTATCGTAATAAAACTAATAGCAAAACAAAGAATTTTGGTTCATCATATTCTTACTTAATTTGTTCATTGATTACTGAAGCGATTCTACCAAAATGACCCGTCCTGGGTATGACGATAAACTACATCCGTGCCCTGGGTAAGACGATAAACTACATTCAACAGCAAGGAGGAACTGATATTCTTTAACGGCTGACGAGTCTTTGTTCAGTCCTAGGTATGACCATAAACTTCATCCGGTACCAAGACCTCTGATCTTTTCCGTTTCTTTGGAGCACACTCTAGTATAATATGGAACAGCAAAATCAATAATTTGACACTGGCTATTTTCCTTGTTTATATAGCCACGGGTTTGACCATACACTGTATCCATTACCAAGAATTCTGATCGTGAGATGAAAGTTTTTAGGGGGGGGGTATTTTTCTATCTATTCAGTGTCTTTAGAGTCCACTTTTGTATCTTATGTAAGAACAAAGTCAATAATTTGACACTTACTATTCTCTTTGTCTATATAGTCTTGGGTTTGACCATAAACTACAGCCGGCGCCAAGGCCTCTGATCGGGAGATTGCAGGTTTTGAGGAACGTGGAACCACATCTTAATTACTGTTGTTCCTAGTTCCACTCTGATGCGGAGTGGTAGCACCTGTTAGGGTCCCAGCTATGGGCGACTAGTGACCCTGGAAATAAATCACTGAAAGTATAAAAACTCATTTTTATATTAAAAATACCAACGATTCATCAATCAACAGGAAAGACCTCTCCATGACATTAATCCAGATAATATCCTACAATTTCTTAAAGAGATCAAACTGTATTCCAAAAATGTAACTACAACATAAAACACACATATCACCGCCTCTAATAATTATGTCCACACAAACATGTATATATATAAAAGCTGAATATTATCTACCATGTATTCAATTGTGAAAGTAGAATAACATGTATCATATTTGTATTACTACAAAGCCCCCAAGAAAATTAAATTTCTGCATTAAATGACCCATGAGGAGTTGATATGCCGCTAAGCAAACAAATCAAATCAACTCAATCAATACACTATTTAGATTAAACTAACTTATATACATACATTCTTTCTTTCTTTCTTTCTTTCTTTCTTTCTTTCTTTTCGCACCTTTCTTTCTTTTTTCTTTCTTTCTTTCTTTCTTTCTTTCTATTCGCAGCCTTTCTTTCTTTCTTTCTAATTATTCGCCCCTTTCTTTCTTTCTTTCTTTCTTTCTTTCTTTCTTTCTTTCTTAACTGAATGAAAATTAAAGGCGTTTCTCAAGCTGCAACCAGCCATTCTTTTCATTACGGATAAGAACAAAACGTACGCAGTCGAGGAAAGAAATTTGTAACGGTTTTTTTTTTCTGATTGATCATACCAGCAATATATTTTTATATCAAACTGACTAACAATTCAGTTTATCTGTCATTGAAGCCATAAAATTGTGTCCAAAACATTTAAAGTCCGGCATTAAATAATCCATAGTGGTTGATATGCCACTAAACAAAATCAATCAACCAACATGAAAGAACGTTTTCATGACATTAATCTATATGATATCCATATAATCCATATAATATCCAACAATTTCTTAAAGAGATTAAACTGTATTCCAAAAATGTAACTTCAACAAAACTACAATATAAAACACATTTATCACCTCGTCTAATAATTATGTCCACACAAACATGTATATGAACAAAAGCTGAGTATCATCTACCATGTATTCAACTGTGAAATAATAATAATATCTAAAAATAATATGTGGTAATAATAATAATATCTAGAAATAATAATAGGAATATCTAGGAATAATAATAAATAAAAATTATATGTGGTAATAATAATAATAATATCTAGAAATAAATTGTATTTTTATTACTTCCAAGCACACAAGAAAATTAAATTTCTGTATTAAATGACCCATGAGGAATTGATATGCCGTTAAACAAACATATGAATCAATGTATCACTCTTTAATTCCAATGAAATATTGCCATTTCTTTGATTTTGGAAGACAGCTTTCACAATGACAAATCCATTTCTGATTGTTCCTCGTCTTTTATAATAATTCACAGAGAGTTAAGTTTCTGTGTTTGCTTTATTTTGACATCTCTTATCTGTAGGTGCCATCTTGGACTGTCTTACTTCATAATGAGCATAAATTCTCCAGCATAGAAAAAACAGAAAAAAAGATAAAACGAAGAAAGAAAGAAAGAAAGAAAGAAAGAAAGAAAGAAAGAAAGGGTGCGAAAAGAAAGAAAGAAAGAAAGGGTGCGAATAGAAAGAAAAAAAAAAAGAAAGGGAAAAGAAATAGAAAAAGAAAGAAAGAAAAAAGAAAAAGAAAGAAAGAAAGAAAGAAAGAAAAGAAAGAAAAAAGAAAGAAAGAAAGGGTGCGAATAGAAAGAAAGAAAGGGTGCGAAAAGAAAGAAAGAAAGGGTGCGAATAGAAAGAAAGAAAGAAAGAAAGAAAGAAAGAAAGAAAGAAAGAAAAGAAAGAAAAAAGGAAGAAAGGAAAGAAAGAAATTATTCATACGTCTTAAGGAGCGTGGAGA